CCAAAACCCCAAAACCCCAAAACCCCAAAACCCCAAAACCCCAAAACCCCTTGAACCACAATATCAAATATATTTTAAAATTGGTATATTATTGATAAATTATTGGCTGATAGCCTTAAATGATTATGGTTAATGATTATACTAACTGTACTATTATTCTTATCTATTTATTTCCCAACAATAAATATTTTTATTGGCAAAGCATTCTTAGCAAGCAATCTCTTGAGTCTTACTTAAAATCACTCATTACTTAGGCAATCTATTTATCATTCCATTCATTTAGCCTGGAAAAATACTATAATTGCTACAGTTACTCATTGATTAGAATTCATTATGCGGAATCCTCTAATCGATGATAAAGCCTGAATTTGTGAACATACCTTGATATTGATGTTGCAAGCTCTATCTATTCGCTTATATATTTTGAAAAGGTCTATTATATTACAGATTAGAATAGATTATGGGCGCTGATAGCTATGTTAATTAATTCATGTATGGATTCTAGTTAAATTAATTCTACTATATTTGAAGAGCGATCTTTTGTCCATCTAGTAGTCCCTAAAGGTACAGTGGATTCTAGGAAGACTATTGATAGAGAGACTAGTAGGATGGTATTGCTGATTGACTACCGATAATGACTGGTTATGAGTGGTTTAAGATATTTATGCTCGAGAGTGAAGTTTATGATGGCTAGCTGTGTTGAACAATTAAAGTTTTAGGTTTTATTACCTCTTGCTATTCATTCTTATCTTAATTGAAGTTTTACATTTATTCAGCTGAGTTGTCATTAGTCTAGACTATCTGCTCTCTAGTAAAGCTTGCATTTTTTAAGGTTTCATGGACATCCTCACAATCTGTAGAGGTAATTATGCTTAGTGACTCCATATTATTTCCACAAACATCAGAATTATTACTGATCTGAATCTAACTATTAATTGCCTGAATTTTTTCCATGTTTTAGCATTGAATATTTATATTTACCGCTTCGATCTCTTCATGATCATTTTTTCCAAGATCCTTAGTTAGTAGGTTGAATTCATTGTTAATACAATGGTCAAGATCAGAATTACGGAAATTCGTGTCTATTTATTTTAGGAGTAGATCAGAATCAGAGGATTTCCTTTCATTTTGTTTATCAGATGGCTTAGTAACTACAATGTCTTAACTCTAGTTGTAATTGGTTCGACGGCGCTTTAATGGAGCCCAGTAGTTACAGAGGTATTTTGCACATTCCTCCTCATTCTTACTTACGAATTCTATGAGTTCTGAGTTGGAAATTTTAGTACCAGTTTATTTATTAAGTTCGCAAGCAATGTATTCTTTTTCTGCCTCAGAGAATGGTCTCTTGAGCTTTTGTATAACTCCTAATAAGCTGTTTTTATTGTCGAATTCATCTAATGAGTTCACTAAACGGTACTCTTTCTTTTAAAAGTTGTTATGAGTTCTTCTATGTAGAGATAATTTACCTCTTTACCTAAAAGATTAGGTGCACCCCTCGACTCCACATACGAATGGCTCCTGATTGGTATGCGTATATTAGTGTTCTCTTAGATATTAAGGTAGAGCGAATGATTTATCGCAGTAAGCACATTAAAATGTTTTCTACTTTGAATGAATGTAGTAGTGCCTTTTGAGAGAAAACTTAGTAGTAAATTTCTTGTCGCAGTCTGGAAACTAGCAAATAAACACTTCTTCCTATATCATAACTATTTAAATTTATTATTTCATTGGTAAAATGTGATACTTTTTATAGGTAAAATTCATAATCTGATTTCATAATCGTATTCAACACTTCGGAGATCACTGATTATTTTAACAGAACATTATTTAAATTCAAACCTATCTTATTAAACTTCTATCTGTTTTTCTTATTTAACTTCAGGGGTTTTGGGGTTTTGGGGTTTTGGGG